ACGACGTAACCCTGGTCACTCAACATTTGATATGGTTAGGGTTAAGGTTAGGGTTAGGGCAGTAGGCGTAGGCGACTCCCCTAGATCTCGTTAGTGGAGTAGACGATGGTACGGTCCGGCATATTACGATAGTACCAGGTACGTTCTGCCGTACCCCGGGGGACATAAACCCTCTCAGTAGTACTATAGCCCGCTTACATTAACTCAGCCCTCTTAAATACCAGATTTTCACCGCTCATTATCTCAGCGTAGAGGCATCGTAGGACAAGCCGGTTTGTTTTATATTAGCAAGGTAGGACAGCTGATTCAATAATACCACCAAAGAATCGTCAAAAAAAAACGGCAAAGTTTATTCAATTCGACTAATACTCGCAGCAATGGTGTTCAGCATTCACCGTTGTACGCTTCTTGATAGTATATATGAGTGGCAGATATTGAATCATGAAGTGATATACGACGCACTTTGAACATGCAAACTTTTGGTAATTCAGTTATGGATTTGTATGGGGTGGTGTGAGCCAAATCTGGGATATTTAACTTCTCATTACTGAGTTTGCTCTGAAATATAGCTCTGATGACAGGCGCGTAGCCAGGGGGGGCGCGTCGCCCGCCCCCCAAAACGGCTTCAAATATTGACCCAAAATGCTTAAAATATTTCAAAAATTTTCTGGGGGGCATGCCCCCAGACCCCCCTAGCACTTGGCAATGGTACGCACTGCTGCCAAACCGTCCGTTGTCAGATTGCCATGTGCGTGCATGTTTAGTATGCATGTATAATGTATGTACGATGTGTGTGTGTGTGTGTGTGTGTGTCGTGCGTGCGTGGCGTGCCGTGCGTGCGTGCGGCGTGCGTCAGGCTGTGCGCGGTGCCGTGCGTGCGTGCGTGCGCGTGCGTGCGTAGCTCGGCGTGCGTCGCGTCTTGCGCGCGCGTGCGTGTGTGTGTGTATATGCAATGTGCATGCGTGTGCTATATGACTGCGTGTGTGTGTGTGTGTGTGTGTGTGTGTGTGTGTGTGTGTGTGTGTGCGTGTGTGTCGTGTGTGTGTGTGTGCATGGCGGCGGATCCAGAGGGGGTCGAGGGGGTCCGACCCCCCTTTTCATACCACAAAAAGAGGAAAAAAATCATACACACACCCGCACGCACCGACGCACACACAACACACAAGACACACAACACACACGCATGGCACGCACGCACGCCACACACGCCACACACGCACACACACACACACGACGCGCACACACAGCACGCACTTCTCTTAATATTTCTCCATGGCAAAAATCTTGTTTAGCCGCTAAAGTGTTTCTGATAAAGATTACTTTATATATATGGTATAATTTCGTTATAAAACTTAGAAATGGCACAAGAGCGTGGTTCCGCAGGCGTGTCCGGCGGGACGGAGCGATCTGATAATTTTTGCAACTTCTAGACATCAAAATACTGCTGCAGATGCCTTCAGAATGCACCAATTTTTTTAAAACCCAACGCCCCCCAAAGTGGCCTTCGGCAGTTTTAAAACACCAGAAAAAGTAAGCGCAAAAAAAGCTGCCTTATAGGTTTTGGCGGTAATGGCCTTCCATAGGTTTTGGCGGTAATGGCCTTCCATAGTAATCTGCATGTGTGCACCTATACACGTCGCAGCGCCCCGTAAGCAGCAATAGGCTAATGACTAAACGCCAACCTGCGGGGAAAAAATAAGCCTAAAGCCATTAAAAATTATCCGTATTTGTACAGTAAACGGTTGTGTTATCACGGTCGACTATCACGCCACGGATCTCCAGGCTATAACCGCGTAGGCTGCACCGGTCTGTGCATTTATCTCATAGCGCGGTACTAGTGAGTAACGGGAGTAAGAACGGTAGCAAGATGGCCGTGTTCGCTTGCTGTGGAACAGCGCTGCGTTCGGCACTACTAGTCGCTGTCACCGCCATCCTCGTACAGTTTATAATTCCACGTTTCATGAGGACGGACCCGCCGTTACTGTTCAACGGCAGCGTCGCACCGGGATTCGAACCCGTACAGGTGGAGTTCAGGTAAATGCGTTACGGCGGTGTTTGATGCGTTTGATGCTGACTTCGTACGTGATCGATCGATCGTTCCGCGTATTGATTACCATCCGGCCGGCTAACGGACTGAACATGCGTCGGATTGATTGAGAAATTGGTTAGCTGGCAGAATGACGGGATAATAGGTAGGTTTATACACGCGTGTACCGTACTCCCCGCTTGCTTCTCAGCCGGGAACCTCAGCTATGTGAGCCATTGTAATCTCTTCTGTAGTATATTATTGACTTTTTTCCTGTTACAACCAGTAAGACCAATACTACGACTATCAGACGTCTTATATTTTAGTATATGTGCGTCAACATGTAGGTGTAGAATACATATCTAAATACGAATACATTATAAAGATATGAATACATTCAGAAGATATATAGAATTACATTTAGACAATCTATATACATGTGTTCATGGCGTGTGTAACCGCGAGGGCTTATCATATCAAAGACTCACAAACATCCCGTGTTTATACTTTGTTTTAACGGTGTCATCGTGTCAGTTGTGTTGACTGTGTCCGCGGCAAACCGCTGAACACATCAACGCCCAGCCGTAGAAGTAGCTTAACAACAACTACTTACGGATGTCAGCTGCAACCGCGATTAAATGGGAAAAATTACTGGTCTTGTTTAGCTGTGCGTGCATGGTTATCGCGCATATAATTGTAGCATTTATTGTATTGTATTGAGCGTAATAATTGTTTAACAAACAATTTAGGAAACTTTTCGAGGAGGGACTCGCGAAAATGGCGCCGCGTTTGCCGTCTATCACAAGGGCAAGCCCATTGTTAATATATGGGGAGGTTACGCCGACACTGCCGCCCACAACCCGTGGACGGAAGACACGATGAGTTTTTTCTTCTCTACTTCCAAAGGTAATAG